AGCAGGAAGAGATTAGGGCGGTCACTAAGTGGGCAGGAATCACACTTTCATCACATGTCTTTACATCAGGGGAGGGCGCGAAGTGGAATTAAAATACAATTTTGAAATATAAAAATAAGAGATAAGAGAGAAAATGATAAAGAAAGAAAGTGAAGAGTTGAGACATCTACTAATTTGAAGCCAGGGACCGGTACCAAAAACAGGATGAATTTTCCACGCTCTGCTGGATAGGAACATTTGGTTTGCTTTCAATGATATTAACTTTAATGCTAACGTTAAATTGCTTTCTTCTGTGCTGAATCTTCTGAACACTCAGGTTGCTGGGAAAGAGCATCTCGCCCCCATGACTGCATATTCCATGCATTCTGGATGCACGGTCTTGTAGATGCAAGCTGGGGTGTTTTTGTTTTTGATTTTTCTTTTTGATACTAGTATTTCTAAGAATCCTCATTTTATGCATCCACAGAGCAAGCCTTTTCCTCCCCCAGACATTCCTTCCAAAGGTAGTATCAGATCCCCCTCATGAGTAGGGAGCCCTATTCTAGAATGGGATATCAATATTAAAAAGTACTCTTTCCTTTTCACTTCCCTTCTGATAATGTAGACTTGATGGGAAACGCTTTTCAAAGTGGGTTGAAGGGCCAGGGCATCAGAGGTCTCCACCCTTCTGGCACTTGCCCAGGGTCAGCTGCAGTCAGAAGAAGTAATGAATCAGTTCCTAGTCCCAACACTAATGAATCACACATTTGCTCCATATCAGATCTCCAGCCCTTACTCCCTGTCCTGAATCCAAAATGTTCCACCAACAGGCAACAAAATATAATTAGATTAGAATGAAAGATTAGCCACCCAGCAAATGCCTTTCCTGTTTCTGTATGGGCAAGGCAAGTAAAATGGGCTTCTCCCAGATCATTCAATGAGCAGATGCTCTGGGCATGCCATATCCATCAAAAATGTGTGTTGCTGTCTGCCTCAACACAACTCACCTCATTCAATTTACAGAAGGAACACCCCTTTGGTGTTCAACCAAGCTAGCAACAAAGAACTTGCTTTTTCACAGTGAAATCTCTACCTACCTGAAGAAGCCTTATAGAGGTCAGGGATAGGTAGTCACCGGTATCTTTGTCTTGGTTTAAATTAGGCATAATTCATTGACCTGGAAGATGGCAGGCCTGCACACGAAAGACCTCCACTGGCTCCTCCAAGAGTCACTGGCCTTCAGAACAAAGGGTGGAGACATCCTTTTAGCTCTAGGTAGTCTCCACCAGAGGGGACAACTCCCTAATGTGGATGTTCAAATGAAGAACCCTTACATATAGGAACTTGCTTAGTCTTCCAGAAATTCCATTTACAGGTGGGAAAACTGAGCTACAAGGTAGTTAAATGTCTTAGACAGTGTCAGTTAGGCTGTAAATGGTAGGGCCAGGTTATCCATAAGCTGCCTGCCCACTTGTCAGAAGGCCTGGTTTACGAACACCTTTGCAGTGCCCTTGACTGAGCCCTCCTGTGCTGTGTTCCTCTGTCCCCAGTTCTTCCTCAGTCTGACTCCAAGTCAGAGGAAAGCTGGGTGGTAAGAGAGAAGGGTGAAAACTTTAACTTAATTGACATCTCAAGGACATTCGCTGAATTCTGCCCCGGTGATCTGAAGGCCTGAGCTTGGGCACCCTTCATTAGCATCAAAATGGGGAGGGACACCACAGAGTTTTACAAAACAATTAAATCCCCAAAAAACAATGCTTTTATTGACTGATCTACTCCAAAAAGCCTTCCTGGTTCTTCTCTTCCAGCAACATAAGATCCTGAAGGCTCTTCCTTGAACACTGGTGGTGGGATCTTCCCCTTTGTCACTCCTAAGCAAAGGCACTGTGGGTGCCCCCAGATGGGACTCAGGTAGATCCCGCTTCTCAATTATGCTGAGGAGCTGTTTCAGGACCATGCCCATTTACAAGAAGGATCATCTCAGTGTCAAAAGAGCTCAACTCCTCTCCCACCACCCTACCTGCGGTGGGTCTCGGGTTGATCATTTGGGGAGGCGAGAAGAGCCAAGGAGATTTCTCCAAGCCTCCAGACTCAGCCACCATGTCTGCTAATGCACAGCCAGAGCTCATACCCAGCAGTCTCCTTTCCCATAGCTGAGGATGGAGGGCTATGCAAACAGCCTCATTAGTCCTTGATAAATGCTTAAAGATTCCTTCATGCACACTGGACAGACCGTTTATCATTCACTGGGGTGAAAGCATTCAGATTCTAAGTATCCCCTGATTCTTGCAATTAATGCCTGGACATGAGCATTGAGCGGAGAATAGCCAGGAAGATCTCTCAGATTTACTAGGGTACTTATTGTCCCTTAAATAAATAGCAATTAATACTAAAACATTTAATTAAGGTTTAAGAGCCAGCAGAGATATTTATCTCTTGCATAGCTGTTAAGCCTCTCCAAATGCATTTTTAATGATGATATAACAGTTTGTTCTCACACCATCATCTTCTCACTCTAACCTACACCGCATTTGGGACCCAAAGTATGGCCAACTCTGCTTCCCTGTAGGCAGGTTTTTTGTGATGACTACAGCTTCCAGGCAGGCGTGTGCCCAGTTTCCCTGGATTCATCCTCCATGATAGATTTCATTGACTTCTTGCCTCAGACCACCTCCATGGTGGGGCCAGATTGCTATAGATAGAGACAAAATGAAGCTGACTCTCCCCTGCTCCAAGGAAGGGGACCTCGGATGCATGCCTGCCATTGGCTCATGGACTAATTCCTGTCATTTTTCATGTAGCAGGCAAACTTCAGAAAACCTCATTAGTGTTCAGCTCTTTCCATTTGCTAAGGCCACTTCATTCCAAAAGGAGCCTGAAAAGTCATAAAAGCTCTTGAATCCAAAGGAAGTAAGAAATAAATCATGTGTTATTATTATTTTCAAAAACACATTGAAGACTTAACTAATAAAAAACAGTAAGAAATGCACCTGAGCCTTCTCACTTTGTTCTTTAAAAAAAAAAAGTTAATAGAATATCAAGCTTTTATGATTGAGAGGAATATGTTTTGTAAAGCAACATCCAGAGCCTTCTGGAAGCTGAGAACCAGAGCCAAGGAAAATTCAGAGAAAGGAACTGTTTCAGGTTGTTGAGAAATTAACTAGTACCTACTGAGCCCCAGGGGACCTGGCTGAAGTCTGTTTATTCTCTTTGTTTTGCAAAAAAAAGATAGTGTTCATTAAACCCGACAACCTACTGTGTTGTTTGCAGCCTGGTGGGTCCAGGCCGGTGGAGAGTCTCCTTCTAGGCAGCAGAGGGCAGAGTTTATCCCAGATCTCAGTCTCAGATCATTTTGTAAAACACGCTGTTCTTTTTTTCACCAGACCAAACTAAGAACCTCGTTGGACACCTACCTTCACAAGTGTTATTTTCCAGTCAGGGGTCCCGGGCCTGCCTTTTTCATCTTTCGCATGTGGCCTAGTCCCCTCAGTTTCTCTCTGGGTTTAGTGCCATGCTGAGAGGCTCATGCACTGAGCCTCAGGGACAGAAAAACCCAAACACCCCCCTGTGAGCTGAAGTTCACACAGCTCATTTTGGCAGCAACTTAGGGCCATGCCGGGTAGGTGATTGGCCAGCCTCAGATTCCTCCAAGCAGTGCTCTTAAAATGACAATTCAAGGACTGGCCCCATACTCTACTGGTTAAGGGGGTTGAATCCCATGTGGTCAGCTGCAGTTCAAATCCTGGTCCTAGTGGCTTGAAAAATACACTGGGCCTGAGTGCATGTGTGCCCAAAGTCCCAACAGGATGGGGAAATGGAGAAGGGATTTGGGTATGATCGTGACCTACTGGAGGGTGATTTCTCCTTCTCTGTCTCTTTCTCTGGCAAGCATATGCATCCTCTGACAAAAAAAAGAAATGATCAAAGTATAGGATTGACGTGCTCTCTCTCACCCTCTCTCCTCTCCCTCTCCCCCCTCCCCTTTCCTTCTATTCTTTCATCCTGAGACACTGGGTAGAGAGAGATGCCTGTGGATTTGAAAGAGGCTTCCTTCCCTACCTGACTGTAGATGTTTGCTACTCTGGACAGGGGCTGTATCCCTGCAGTTTGACCCTTCCTTTCAGTATCCAACAGCAAGTGGCCCCTGGAGGTCCTTCAGGCTGCCAAGGGTTAGTTTCAAAGATATATCCCTGCAGTATGACCCTTCCTTTCAGCATCCAACAGCAAGTGACCCCTGGAGGTTCTTCAGGCTGTCAAGGGTTAGTTTCAAAGACAGGGACAAAGCTGCTTTTATACCCATCTCTTCTCTTAACTCTATTCCATATCAATTTCCCACTTGGGAGCAGGCCCAGAGCTTGAACCTGAGAGAACCAGACATGAACTTGGCAGGAGACCCTTGTCCTCAGAAAGCTGTTGTGCTAGCAGGTTACACATAATACACACACATGTATGAAGTGCAGCACAGATTGTCCTGAGAAGTAACAGGACAGCACACTCTAGTAGACAGAAAGGAAATAGGAACATGTTTACAAAGGGAAGGAACGTCCAGGAAGACCTCCCCAGTGGAGGTCAGACTGGAATAGAGAAAGAAAGAGGGAAGGATCAAGAGAAAAGGCAGGACCAAGTTATACAGCACTGGATGAGTCCAGGAGACATTGAAGAAGGAAATCAGCGTGAAATCTGCCTGGAACACCTCCAGGGGAGTGACTAGCAGGAGGAGGAGGAGGAGGGAGAAGCTGTTCCTCTGGCCTTTATGTGCCTATCTAAGGTCAGCTTCAAGGGCTGGAAAGCAGCCCTGGGCAATAGTTTGGCAGGAAACCTTCTTTATTCAGATGGGCAACCATGTGACCTATAGTGTAACACTGGACAGCTCTGAGAGCGAGGTGTGCTCTGGTTATAATCGACAGTCAGAAGAAACAAAAACAGCAGCTTAAACTGCAGCCTGTTGCAGGCCACCAGGACCAGGCATAGAGCCCCCAAACCCAGCCTTCAGTGACTTACTTTTTCATTTCTTTGAAAAAGAATTTGAATTGTGGTAAAATATGCACAACATAAAATTCACCATTGTAACCATTTTTAGGTGTACAGTTCTGTGGCATTAAGTGCACTCTGTTGTACAATTCCTGCCACCATCCTTCTCTGACCTGTGTTTGTCCCCCTCTATTAAAACTCTACCTAGAAAACTATCACTGCTCATTAACCCTCTCCCCACAACATCATTCTATATTTTATCTCTATGAATTTGACTTCTCTGGGAAGCTTACATGAGTAGAATCACATGATATTTGTCCTCATATTTTTTAACGTTCAAAAAGTTCAAACAAAGATGGATATGCAACAGGGACATTTCTCTCTGTGTGACATCACTTCATGTATTTAATCTACCCTCCTGCCAAATCCTGGATGTGTCCGGGAGGTGAGTGGGCTCAGGCACAGCTGGAGGAAGGCTCCTAAGGGTTGCCCAGTACAGTCCCACATGATGCCCCACTTCTATTACACAGTGACACCATGCCACAGCTAGGTGGGCCTCCCCATGGCAGCTGAGCAGATGCTCCACTTTAGGACTCCCAGGGTTGCCATACAGGTATTCTTTGGAGACAGTAGACAAGGTGAAGTGATAAGCAGGAGACTGGCCACTGTTGCCCAGACTAGGAGGGGTCCTAGGGAAGGAGATCGCACTTCCACCTCCACCATTGGTGGAAATAGATTCTGAATGGCCGATATTCTTGGCAGAGAGAAGGAACACAGTGCCAGGGAGGAGGAGCTCTTCTGAGCCTGCCAGCCCCACCATAGAGGTCCAGGATACAGTCTGCATCTTCCAGGTGTGTCCTATGTGGGGCCCTTCAGCCTTCAGACTCAGCCAGAACTGCTATGCTGCACTTAGTTGATTCAACACAGTTGAATGGCTGTGGCCTGACTTGTCATCAAACTCACCCAGGGAGCACCTAAAATCTGTGTTCACAGGTCCCACCTGGAGGACTGAATCTGAATATTCACAGGTGGGCCCAGAAGTCTGTATTGCTGAAACTCTCTGAAGAAAACTTGAGATGGAGCCCATCTGGCCACTCACTGTGATGTCTAGAAGCTGCTGGGAAATGCTACTGGCTGGTGCTTTTCCCAGCTTCATTTTGGGATCATTGCTCCACACTCCCATTTTCTGACTTGTATCATCTGCAAAGATGAGGACGTAGTGGGATTCCCCTCTGTATTTTTTTTTCTTTTATTTTGGAGAGGTTTTTGCTATAGGGCATGTGCGCTCGCCAGACAGAGAGAGACAGAGAGACAGAAAGCAAGAAATCACCCCCCAGGGGGGATGGCCACGCCACAATCCCTTCTCCTCCATTTTCCTCTCGGGATCTGGGGCATGCACACACATGCGCCCGGCATGAGTTTAAGCTGCTGGGTCTGGGACTTGAACCGCAGTCAACTACGTGGGAGTCCAGCGACATAGCCATTACGCTAACTGCTGGTCCCTCCCCTCTGTATTTTTGAGGGTCCTGATCACCTGCAGTTATGGGAGTGCTAGTGGGAGCTCTGACTGATAATGGAGGAGCACAGCTGTCCATTCCTATGTCAGTTACAGCTTCGAGTGAGCACCTATGAGCTGAGTCGTATTATATTCCAACTCTTTGGGCCATGCCCAGATTGACCATAGCTTCTGATTCTCTGGGGGAGGCTGACCAGGTAGAGTCTCTGACTGAACCTAGAAGACTCCGTGTTTCCCATTTTTCAAGTTATACATACAGGCTGGGTCCATGCCACCCCTTCTTGCTTGCCTGCTAAAGTGGCAGTTACACCCACTGACATACACAGAAGGGTCTCCTTTCTCTTTCTCTTTTTTTCTTTTTTATTTATTTATTTATTTAATTTTTTTTTGTAGAAATTTTTGCTATAGGGCATGTATGCTCACCAGATAGACAGAGAGAGAAAGCGAGAAATCACCCCCTAGAGGGAATGGCCACTCCGCAATCCCTTCTCCTCCATTCTCCTCTCGGGATCTTGGGCATGCATGCACACACTCCTGTTGTGAGTTTAAGCCACCGGGTCCAAGATTAGAACCGCAGTCGACTACATGGGAATCCAGCGACATAGCCATTATGCCAACTGCTGGTCCCAACTTTCTCTCTTCAGTACAGTCATTTTTGGGGGAGATCATGGAGGTGGTTCTTCTGATGTCATCCATTAATCTCTCCCAAGACTTGGCTTTGGGGAGACTCCAGCTGAGGCATGGTTGAAAGGGATTTCTTTCTTCTTCTGGCATAGGAGTTGAGCCAGCTCAGCTATGCCCTTCATGAGTAGGAGGCTGGACAGGGTGTGACCATTGTGGAATGCATTCAAGCCACCTGAGGTGTTCTTTGTCCATGGTCCCTTTCATGAAGTCCCCTTCAGGAAGTCCAAACCTCCACAGATTACCATCACTAACACAAGGTTTGGGCACCCACTTCCTGTCTCTGGGACTGCTAGTATTTGTTCCAGTTCCTGATGACTAGTTCTAGGGAGACATTTTGCACATTCTGAGGACATGTTAGCAGAGAAGGGGAGAGCAGTGGGTCTTTGTGTGTGATCGGCTGGATTGTGAGCCTTCACAGACTCATCCTGCCCTTGGCCTGCTGCCATTTAATCTCTTCTTGTTTTCTTTCCACACAGGATTCCGTTGGTGAACCTGTAAAAACAAAACAAAACAAAAAACACAAAACCTAAAACTAAACTATATAAGGGGGAGGGTCCCCGCACCTACCACTTCTGTTTGCCGGTGGGAAACTCACAGAGCAGGACGCTCTAGGCCAAATATATTTTTGTAAAAATGCTCATGCCTACGGGTGACTGCTTTCTCCCAGAGTTTTCTTTGGAGAACAGAAAGAAGAAAGACAAGGAAGAAACTGGAGACAGAGAGAAAAAGAGACCTAGCAAAAAGGACAGGAGGATGCACCTGACGCCTGGGATTTGTACTACGATTCTGAACCTGTGCCAATAATACCATTATGTGCCATGTACTGACCCGAAAGGCTCGGCCACAGAGCCGAAGCCCAGCAAATCACGCGTAGAAATCTTACAGAAAACAGGGGTGGGAATCTCTTCCAATAGAGTCACTATTTCTGGTTAATATACATATATAAATATATAAATACAAACAGACACACACACACTTTTTTTGTACTGTAGCAATTTTTGAAGATCCTAAATGTTCCTTTTTAAAAAAAATGAAATTGTGTTATAGGTTACAAAATCTGATTTATTTAACATGCTTAGTATGATCAGAATAAACCAGTGTTTTCTACTTTGACAACTCATATCACACACATTCTGCACATGCCCACACACATACACACATACCTGCACACACATACACACACACACACGCACACATATCTACACATCTATTGGAAATACAATTCCACAAGTGAGCATATTACTTCCGGTGACCTGGTATTTCATCACTGCTCATCCCAAGAGACAGCCTTGACCCAGACAACAAGCCCTTGAGTGACACACCCTGCATTTGCTAGATATTTGGTGAGTGGCTCCAAATGTGTGATTTATTATCTTGGACCAGAATTAAGAATGCCATGGTCATGTGTGTGTATGTGTGTGTGTGTGTGTGTGTGTGTGTCTGTGTGTGTCTGTGTACACAATATATATGTATACACAAACACATGATATATTATCTTTTTTTCATTTAATCATTTGAGGATGCTACCTAACAGCCATGCACCCATTTACATAGCTGGCTGCTTGTAAACACCTGAGTACCAGATCAGGCAGGCAATGGATTATTGGACATTTGTGTTATACAAGCATAGACTGAGTTAAAGAAACTTGCCAGTTCTGAAAATTGAAGATATATATCCTTATAGTGTGTACGCGTATGTCAGGGCAGAACTCAGAAATATAGGAGGGCTCCAGTGTGTTTGAAAATGAAAAATAATCATCCTTTGTGCAAACAACCCAGGCTACTTCCCCTAAGGTGGGGCATAGTCTGCAGTTTTTCTCCATATCGTCAGTGGACAGATACTTCCACTTTTTCTTGAGCCCAAGGATAACTTAAAATCTTGGTGGAAACTAGCAAAATGCTGCTTTCTTGTCAGGTTCAACTGGCTGATGTTTGTGTTTTGGCATCAGAAAGCCTATGGAGTGTCCCAGTGAAAATAGGGCCCCAGACTAGAGCCTTGTTACAGAGAATGCCAACCACACACTATTTATGGCCAGAGGAGCAAATCTCTCCCAAGCCCCATCTTATACAGGCTCCCTGGTGCTCCAGGCTTTCTGTAAGTAAGGGCACTGTAAGGGATCTAAGGATGCAGCCAGTGGCCACACACTGCCCCAGTAGAGGATATTTCCTCCCTATAGTGGGAGCCCAGGTCAGGTGTAAGTGGCCTTTCTCCAAAGAATATGTTTCCTATGTATGGCCCACGTGTGACTTTGAGCTTACCAGTAGGGTGCATGAACAAATTAAAATGTTGAGTTAAAAGCTAAAGGTCAGATAGACTGCTGACCTTCACGGATGAGCCATGCTGATGACCTTCTGATTCTTCCCTTGGGCTTAGTCTCCCCCTGAAACACCTTGGAATGTGCTTGAACAGTTCACTGTGTATCCTGAGCTCGGTGAGAGTAGAGCACTCCTCGTGGAGAGGAAAAGTGTTTGGTGACACAATAGTGTGGAGATTTGTATCCATGGTATTGCCCCCACATTGGGAAAGTCATTATTTTGGTTTGGGTTTTTGTTTTGTCATTTTCCTCCAAAGTTTTGGCACACATTGAGACAGTATAAACTTCTGCCTCTGGTATTTGACCATCTCCGAGTTCCTGAGAATCATCTGCCTGGTGCTCTGCTGTGCACCTCACTGTGCATCACCAGCCTCATCCTATCGCATCCTCAAATAACCTTCTCACTGAAAGGAGGCAATGGAGCCTCCTGAGTCCAGGTGAGCACAGCTTGGTGTGAGTTCAAGATGAGGCTGTTAGCATTGAGCAGGTAATGGAGGCTGCTGCACTGATCTAAGCATCCTGAGCCACAGAGTGAGTCTACCCAGAAAGGTATTTGGTGGCAGGAGCCAATCTCTTCGCTGACAGTGGGATCCTAGAATTCCTGCCATCTCCATCTGCAGTTCCCAACCCAAGGCCTGCACTGTGGATCCCCTTAACTCTTTCCTTTGTCCATAAAACATTGAGTCTGGAAGGAAGCTTAAAATAACAAAGCCTGTCACCACTCTGTGACAGCCCCTTCTGCACGTGCTCAGGGTAGGGCTGCATGATCCACGTGAGTACAGTCAGACAAGCAAATGCATGCACATTCCACATCACAATGTCTTGCTGTGTACTGAACATCTATCAAAACAAACCCACGCAGGGAAAGCTACTGTTTTCAGATGATCAAGAGAATATGCAAAGGTGTTTTATTTTTATGTGATTACCTTATCTTCCAGGCCCCTCACCTGGAAACTTCATCTGTGTAAGAGGAGATAATAAATCAGAATGAGAAGATGTACAGCATTCAGCCCCATCCACAGTGAAGTCTGTCAAGCTAGAGCACAGGATTTTTTGAATCAAACCATATATGTTCATGTCCAGCATTTCACGCATCTGCATCTAACGAGTTTGGTCAGACCCTTCCTTTTGCAGCCTTGGACAATGCTCTCAGTTTGTGTTCTCTCATCTCAACTTTTAGAATTCAAAATCCATTAGCAGACCCCCTTCCACACACACGCATCCCCCCACCACTGAGGTCTGGTCCTTATATTTGTTTTAGCATATATTTCTTCAAGAAAAGTACTCAAAGGAAAGAATACAGTTTGGTAAAGTCTACTTCCATCTGATCCCTCCAATACTTCTCTGAAATCCAATCACAGGCCCTGGGTGTGGCACAGATCACTGTCCATGGCCTACCGTCCATTTAAAGCCTCTGAAACAACTGGGCATGGCTTTGGGGAACTGTCTGCTCCTCCTTATACTGTAAGGCAGTTTCTAGGCTTAGTCACTCCTAATGTCCACACTGATATCACTTTTACCTGGTTGAAGCATGGGTGTAATTTCTTTTGTTTCCAAGTTTTGAGTGTAAAAGGCAAGGTCTTCCATGCATGGCTAGGAAAACTTTCTGACCATTTTCCACTGGGCCTAGATCCCAGCAGTGTCCAAGACAAAGTGCCCACCAAGCCTTCCTGCTCTGCTCCAACTTTATCACACAATGCAAGTCAGATGGCGTCCTAGGGTTGGTGGGGTAGCTGATAGTGTTCCTATTTAGTGCCTCCCTTCCATGGGATTTCTTCTGTATGTTTCTGTCCTTAGTTATAGTGAGTTTGAGGGGATTACCTCTGCTGTAACTCCAAGATACCTTTGCATTTCAAACTTAAAAACCTAAACTTGGAAACAAACATCACCAGTTCTCTGAATTTGACCACCAGGAAATCAGTCATTACTACTGGGATCTTGTAAACTTAAATCAGCGTTTTTTTCCTCAAAAACATACTTTCTAACAGCCACATTTTGACAACAGATGGAGCCTTACAGATTTTGGCCTTCAAGAACTTTGTGCACGGATGTTCAATCGGTTGCCCATATATAAAATGAACATGTTAGAGAACTGATTCTTTCACCTTTGATGGTCTCTATTTTGACTCTCTACTGCCTACAGGCAGGTAGTCCATCTCTTTTTCTTCTTCACCCAGGCAGTCTAATATTGTCTGTAGTACATGAAGCTGGGTGGACTACAGTCTCTTGGAAAACAAGACAAGGAACTAGAACTGAGCTTGGGGCTGTCAAACCAGTCAGCCTAGTTTTTCTCATGTTTGTTTTCAAATGGCATCAGAACCCACCTTTTTTCTCTGTTGGCACCATCACTCTCCTTCATCAGTGAGATCTTAGGGTAAATGAGTCTTGATACTCCGCTGGGATGTCTTTTCACCTTTTGATCAGTCATTTGTGAGAAAAATACTGAGATTTCTGATTTCGATTGAGATTCCAAAGCCATTCTTATTTCAGCATATGAATCCTCTTAAGAAGACACAACTCCCATATGCAAATGAAGGAAAATGACTATGGTTCAGGTTCAGAGTAATTAGCCAATCATTTATTCTATTTATAGAACTTTTACCATGTTGGTGATATAACAGCACTGTCTCTGCCCTCGAGCCCTTCTCATGCTCTTCTCAATCTGTCAAGTCACCATCAGGTCAATAGGTCTCAAGGGGGACAAGGAAATTCAAGGACAGACATTCAACCCACAGAGCACAGGGGTCCCAGGGACACCATCCCTGCTGGTACCAGAAGGCGGCTGTCTTTTCAGAAGTTTCCCTGCCAACACTGAGCTCACTTAGCAGCGTCCTTCTTAAACATCTGCTTTTAAGTAAGCATTTGTTTCAAAACATGCCATGATTCATGTAATTTTGGAGTGGTTACTTCGGTGCAGTTTGTCAATTTGCACTGCCGTACTTTTTTTTGATTGTTTGTTTGTTTTTCAGTGTAAATAGCACAGCCCACATAAATGAGCCAAACTCTCATCATCTGAGAATCTTTGATTATTCTTCCCCACTTATTTTACATTGATGTGTTGCCTGCTCTGAAGATAAACTTCTTCACTCACTCTGAGCCAAGATTTGTGTTACTTACATTCAGCATTATTTGTGGGTTTTCCAGGGAGGTTTGGCATTTTGAAATATGTGATTCCAGCACTTCTTTTCAAAGAGCATGAAACTTGGTTATGTGCAGTTTGCCTTCCTGGGCTTAGAGATTACATTTAGATGTGAGGAGTGGGTAGAGGTCTAGGCAGGAAGTCCTGTCTTTTAAATCATACCAACCATCAAACAAACAGGAAGAATGAGCTGTTTCTGACCTCAAATCGTCCTAGAATGATCTCAACAAGAAAGCATGCAGTAGCCAAATCCCAGAGTTTACATCGGTTACCATGATCAGGCAATCCCTGATTGGGAAACATAACCCTGTGAATAAGCTCCCTTTATGCTCAAGTGCCAATGATAGCTCATCCTCTTTGTTAGAGCAACCTCACCTTCTGCATCCAAAACACAAAGCTCCGCCAGGCTCACAGGTATTTACATGTCCCCCACTTCTCACCTTCTGCATACAAAACACAAAGCTCTGCCAGGCTCACAGGTATTTACATGTCCCCCACTCCTTCCATTCCTTTGCAGGTTTTCCCCCCCCCCCCAGGGGGTTAAATACACAGGTTATAGTTGACTGAGAAAGCTATATGCATGGTGGCACCCAGAATACAGAATGATCCAGGAGCAAAAGAGGAGATGCTTGTCATGGACTCCTTAAGGCAATAATGAGAATGGGGCTTCTTCCCAGGGATCTCCAATCACCCCAGCAATAGGTCCATACTCTACACCTGTAAGCACACAGCCCACGCCTAGATGTAAAGGCAGCAGAAGAGAATAGTCAGTGATAACATGTCTGTCTAGGAGCTGAATGCATAAAATAAATCCTACTTGCTCCATTGCCTTTTCCTCTTGATCACAGTCCCTGCTAACAGTTCTAAGAGCTGCTATGCAAAGAATAGAAAGAGTAATTTTGTATGAACCTATAATTGTAAGTCATATATGGGACCACCTTGGCTTAAGAGACATCATATAAACTGGGCTGACCTTACCCATCTGGAAAATTTGGATTTATAGCCACTTAGAATGGGGAGAATTGAAACTACTAGTGAATAGTAGGGGAGGGGACCAGTGCATACAGAATGGCCATGTTACATCTTCTCTATGTAGGCTGCAGTCAGGACACACATGTGCCATAGATAATAATTAAGTGGGTTAATATACTAAACCAAGAGAGTTAAGACAGCCTCAGGAGACTGAATTAACTCTTGTCAATATCATGAATTCTGTAGTAAAACATCTGTTAAGTAATGTGTGGCAGGAATGGATACAGAGAGCATCAAATTGAAGGAAATTTTCTTTTATAAAAGTTAATTAGTTTTGTCTCAAGTGGTCTCTCTCATAAAATAGAATCCCCTGGAGATGTGAGTTTACAAGTGTAATTCAACACCCAAATACTTACAACACTAAATAACAATTCCCTAGATGTTTTATTTTTATGTGGACATAACCTGACTGATCATACTGGTTAGCTTTTGTCATATTTCTGAAATTCTGCAATAAAATTCCTTAGTGTTAGTGTTTATAGCTTTCGGGTTGGCATACTGTCAGTTAATTCTAGTTTTACTGACTTTGGAAAGTTACTGCTTACAGAGAACCAGGGACAGCTTTGGCCATAGGAGAAGCAAGAACAATGTATACTCCTAATCTCTCATTTTTGGCACCATTATATACCATGAAAACTTGTAGCCACTAAAAAAGGATCCACCCTTTGAGGACCCTCAGTATCTTTGCTTTAATCATTGAATAGGGAACTGCAGAAGCAAACACCATTGTACCAATCCCTGGACCACTCTCCCATTTCTTAATAGAATCATCCCATACTTCTCAACTCTTCAGCCATCTCAAGCCAAAAGGGACAATTTCAAACCCACTGTGATACCTCAACCCCAATTTACAGCCTTTGAGGACTAATTGGGGGAAAGAGAGAGAAGAGATTTTGCTGAAGTCTCAGGCTGCTGAAAACCAAATACAGTATGGCAGTGAGCATGGCAGTAGCATTGTTGACAAGGTTTCTGTAACATGGCAGCAGCTGCTATCAAAAGGAAGACTCTCCCTCTGCCTTCAAAGTATACTGGGCTGGGAACTCAACTTTGTATTATTTCTCTCATATGCATATGGATTCTAACATCAAGTTATGTGACTGTGTATAATTTAAGGTCTACAAAGCAACATGGGCCTTGTGTCTTGAGTGTACAGCGAGTCAACATGACCCTGGAAATTTCTGGGGAGGTGGCCGCTCTATGGTGCTCTTAGATGAGGTGTCACTTCCACATATAAGCACAATTCTCCCAGTTAAGGGCCTTGAAGGCCAGGACAGATGGCTGGTTTTGAAAAGTCTAGGAGTATGACAAACGGAGCATTTGGCTACACCCTTCTTGAATTAACTGCCATGATCTATCTACAGATATGTTCTGTCACATGTTTTGGGGGGTATTACATTTGAGTTTGGATGACTTCCTCTGAAGCCAAAAAGTGAAAGGGCCCGGAAATTTAGTTCTCATCAACTGATGATAACTGGATCCTTAAAGATGAATTTCTGGCCTGAGGTCACACAAGGAGGTTCAGCAAATATCTGGGGATATCATGTCTATATCATGCCCTAGGTGTGAAGATGGGAGAGCATGGTTCACAGCAGTTTTGCTTTCTGAAACAGTGTGGTAAGAAGGCAAAGTGGAAATGTGCCAAATTTTACTATGAAACATTACAGTTGGGGTGGGGGGAGATGTAACTATTTTCAGTCACCAGATAATTATTATTTTAAAAAGGTGTTTGTCTTTTTTTTTTTTTTAATTCCTTCTTCTGGCAGCCCCATTTGGATCATTTCTTCCTCCTACTTCCCTGGAGAAACAAGATGGTGGGTACTGGAGCCCAGGACAGGGTTACTCTCCAGTTAAAATTACATAAATAGAAAGCAGAACAACAACAAAGCCTCATGTGAACTACAATGACCTTGTTGATTAAGTTTACTTAACCATTGATGGATAGATCGACTAGAGATGAATGGGACTAAAAATCAGTATTCAGTCATGTCATACCTATCTCTTCAAATGTGAATAAGCCCCAGACAGTGTTGCACTGCATATTGGAAGAAGTTCTAAAGGCCATACATTGATGATTTTTTTAAAGTCTTAACATTTTTCTCAAAAGGAATAAACATTTACTGCAAAATGTTTAGAAAACACCAATAAGTAAGAAGAAGGGAAACATCTGAAACCTTTCAGTCATTGTTTAATTTGTTGGAAATTATTCATTATTCATTAAAGGCTGAATGTGTGGGGACAAGTCATAGCGATCTCTCCATGGTTAACATAGGTGATCAATCTGGCTCCAATGTGTGTTTTACAAAAAGTCGCATCAGCTTTCAAATACATCCTTGGCAGTTTAACTTGTCATTGACTAAACTTGTCATTGCTCATAGAGTGTCTATGATTAAGTGGAAAAGGCAGTCAACCATTTGGATGTTGGCTTTCACATCATCAAGCATTGGCCATTGGACACATCTGGGCATTGGGATGGAATAAACAAAATAGAGAAACATCCAAATCCTTGACTGGATTTTTCATTTGGGAGCATTTATCTAAGAGTCACAGGTCTGAGAAACAGAAGGATCCATTTCCATTTTGATGCTCCTAGTGTGTTTGAAACAACACTTGAGTTTACCAGGTCTCAGCACCTAAATTTAAATGGAGCCCATTTTTCCCTCCTCCACATCAGCTCACACATGGAACTAGAAACTCACAAACCATGAACCTGAACCACAGGACAAGAAATTAACCAACAATGGCCACAGTGGCCTCTTTTATCACAAGTTTTAAGTTGAATGTTTCAGAACTTTATTTTCCCCCTTTATTCATGTATAGCAAAACTGGGTTTATTTTGATTTCCCTAAATTATTTTCTGATACAATAAACTGTTAACTGTTTATTTATACTTTTACATGGAGCACTTGTTATTTTTCAAATACAAAAACCTCTCTGTTTACATGTTCAAATAATATCTATACCACGGCTGTCTCTATAAACATATTTATATATCATCTCCTTGAAAGAGTTAAACTACTGTAGCTTAATGTTGTGTTTTCTTTAAATGCATATCATAATCATGTTAATGAACAGAACTACACAATATATTCGGTGGGGGTGGGTGGGGGGGACAGGTGGCTGAGTGTGATTTCCGTACAGGTGAACTTTTATTTTGGATTTTTTTAAGTTGTTTCTGTATTTCAAAACTATGTATTTGGAAAACATTGTAAATGCAACACCTATATTAACTTTTCCTGTGTATATTTAGTACTCTGATGTTGCTATTAAAAAACAAAACAAACAAACAAAAAACATAATATAAAAGAAAAGAAAAGAAAAGAATCACTATGCATTTAGGCCATGACCTCACAAGGACTTTTTAAAATGGTATTTATTTGTTTTTAGCAATATTATGAGACCTACCCTAAGAATATGGGCCTTGATGTATTTATGCCGTTGCTCAGAGTCTAAGATTTCCTCCTTAGAACTTTATGACTTCCAAACCAGTGCTTCACCCAGTTAGGTAACTAAGAACATATTTCTAAGTCTCAGTGTTTGGACCTTGGAATTGGTTATAACTGACACTGGATTAACCAGGAAGCGTCCACATTGTACAAGACCACAAGCATAAGGTGAGAGTTCCTGAAATTCTTTTATGAGCAGCAAATGTCTGCAAAGATTCCTACAGAAGGAAATGCCTGGCCCCTGAGGAAAAGATTGGGCCCAAAGCTTATAATTGTGTGCCAGTGCCAAGGCAAAAACATTCCCAAGGTCCTCCATTATTAGAGACCAGGGACACATCAAACATACACAGTATTTACAGAGGCTGAAAGAGCTCTATACACTTCCAGACAGGTGTGGATGGGGCAGGTTATGCATGTGCAAGAGTAGTTCTCAATGTGTGGTGTTTTTTTCCCCACTGTACTCCCAGGGACCATCCGGTGATATCTGGAGACATTTCTGTTGTCACCACTGGGGAGGAGAGGCTACTGGGATCTAGTGGGTAGAGGGTGGGGTAGCTGCTAAACATCCTTCTGCCCAGGACAGCCTCCCAACAAAGAATTATTCAGTCTAAACGTTGATGATGCTGAAGTTAGGAGAACCCACTCTGTCCCTTAATGGGATGCTGCACTTCTCTATGCTTCCAGTTTGAGGCAAGAATTCTTCACCCAAATGTGGATTTAAAGGTGAAGCCCTTGCATCAGTGGCTATAGTTTTTTTCACCCCTAGGCCAGCTGAACCTCAGACTTAGTCTCAGAGTGTAAGGCCGATAGGGCAGCCTTACATTTCAGTGAAGTCATGCTGGTCAACCAGATGTACTTTATATCTACTAAGCATCTTTTTTAGGTGTCTGACACTTTTTCACATATTTAAAATTATCCAAACATATACTGAAGTCATATGCACAATATGTTGTCCCAGTTCCCAGAGAGAGAGATCAAGTCACGAAGACAAGGTGTAGGAAGGGTCCAAGGCCAGGATAGGGTTGCTGAGCCGAACACAGCACCTCATCTAGTCCACCCTGGCTTTGACCACAGCCTCCCATGCTTCAAGAAATGTGTCCATTGTATAATTGGCCTGCTGTTTTCTGACCCTTCTGTCGGGAAGAAAACCATCATACAAGCCAAGGACTAGCAGCAGAAAGAGAGGAGGGAAGGCAGAGTCAGAGCCTCCTCATAGCATCAGCATAGCTGACTTGCACAGAAAGATAAGACCCAAGCTAAGGCCTACAAAGTTAGAGAAATCCATTTTTTTCTGTTTTATTATTTATTTTATTCATAATGGAGACCACATGTGCATGCATGAGGGAGAGAGAGAGAGAGAGAGGAGCCTCAGCAGTTTCGTCATACTGCAACCCCTTTTCCCAGCTGTCCAGCTCATCAGGATATTGGGCATGCCTGCACATGGTGTGCTTTCAGGCTGATGCAGGAATCTGAAAGCATGGTTAATCATGTAGTTTTCAGTATTGCAGTTTTCAGTATTGCAGTTCAGTTTGCTATGAACTGCATCACTAGATTGGATCAGCATCTTTTCTTTTTTTTTTTTTTTGGAGAGGTTTTTGCTATAGGGCGCGTGCGCTCGCCAGACAGACAGAGAGAGACAGAGAGACAGACAGAAAGCGAGAAATCACCCCCCAGGGGGGATGGCCATGCCGTGATCCCTTCTCCTCCGTTCTCCTCTCAGGATCTTGGGCACACACGCACACGTGCCCGGCGTGAGTTTCAAGCCACCAGGTCCGGGACGCGAACCACGGTCGACTACGTGGGAGTCCAGCGACATAGCCATTACACCAACTGCTGGTCCCAGCATCTTTTCTTTAAAAATAAAACACATTAAAAGATACAGAAGTGCCAAAGATGGAAAGCAGGGTGAAAGCATTCTATATACACATGTTAAGTACATTACTTCTTCCTAATAGCTCTGGAGTGTAGGTGGCACTCCTCTCCAGCCCACCCCTCATCCACTGGAGCATCAGTGAACCATTTACCAGGTGGCTCATCCAGCTCCAGCACCATTACTATCAACTTGACTTCAAGCAATGTCTTTGTCTTGCTTCCATTTGTTTGTGGGGCTAAGGGCTGACAGATGGCTGAAGTGACCACTGACTCCCCAGGGAAACCTCTCCTTACTCAGTGAGGGGCTTAATGGCCTTGGACACTTTGATAAATGGGATACATAACTATCTTTAACAAGCAGGAAAAACAATACTACTTTGGTCATTTAACTGATTTAAACAAATCAACAGCCTGGATACCATTAAAATAAACTCAATTTGCTCACCAGCAAGAGGGGGAAATTGGGATTCTAGTGTCCATTTACTACTGCATAGAGCTCTTGTCTTTGAACTGAAGCCAAGAAAATAAATATGGGGTCCCAATATAGCTGAATAAATTTGGCAGAGTTGGTCGTAATGGGTCCAAATATTCAAATGCTACAGAAACTTGAAGCACTGGAAAATAACCATAGAGGTTTTCTTCTACGACAGGGAAGATGGGCTGAGCCTTTAAAGGGTCATGGTATATTACAGAATCTCTTTAGGAAGTATTTTACCCGGCCAACTACAGGGAGGGTAAAGAAGGCAGCCATCTAGCTCATTAAAATACTGGGCATACATGCACAAAGACAGTGCATTTTGTGGTAGCTGAGAACTCTTCCCTTCCCTTCCCTCAGGAGAAAACCAAGGTGTCAATTTGGGAAAAAAAAAAAGAAAACCACAGGATTCTCGATCCTATTAGGCTGCAGAAGCAGTCCATATTGCTGCCTTTCATTGTGCCTTGTCAGAGCTCTTTAAAATTATGTACCTCCTGTGCATTCCCTCAGAACTTGGGTTCCAAGAAGGAATGGTGGGTGATAGAATCCTTCAGGACAATGGTTCTCAGGGGTATCTCCATTCCCCAGAGAGATTTAGCATTTTCTGAAGACATTTTTCGTTGTCACGACCAGGTGTTTGTGTGTGTGTGTGTGTGTGCACATGTCTGGAGGGGTTTATTGATGGTGTCTAGAAAGTAAAAGCAAGGGATGATACTAAACATCCTGCTATGCATAGGACACCCCACCCCTTACTCCCAATAACAATGATCAAACCCAAATATCAATAGGCTGACATTGAGAAAACCTGTTCTAGGGGAAGTTAAAGTTAACCTTGTTTATACAGAGGATGAGTACACTGGATGCTTATCATCAAAGACATCACACTTACCCCTGGCTGGCTCCTAGAACTGACCATCTAGTCTTCTCTAAGCCAGCAACTACACTGGGAGACAGTACCAGCATCCCACGAAGCAGAGTATGAGCTCTCTATTTCCAGTTATTATTATTTTTTAATCTGGGTGTATTAGTTTGCTGTGGCTACTGTAACAAACTAGGTGACTTAGAACAGTAGAAATGCATTGTCTAACAAACAGTTCTGAAGGCCCAGAATATGAGATCAAGGTGTAAGCAGGATCATTCTCTCTCTCTGAAGACTTTAAGGAAGGGTCTGTTCTGAGCTTCTTTCCTAACGTCTGCTAAGTCCTTGGCTTCTGATAGCATCACTTTAATCTCCATATGGCATTTTCCCTGTGTACATATTTCTAAATTTCCCCCTTATTAATATAGACACCAGTCACATTGGACTAGGCCCACCCTATGGATGGAGAGTTATTCTCACCTATGGACTATTCACATCCAAACTCAGAGGCTGGAGTTCCTCTAATCTCTGTATTCTTAACCTTAAGACACCCTTCGTCTTAACTAATTGTATCTCCAGTGATGCTATGTCCCAGTACGATCACAGTCCATGTTACTGGACTTCACCCTGTATATTTGGGGTGGGAGGCACAATTCAGCCTATAACACGGAGAGATGCCATCCCTAATATTGAAACATGCCCCACTTTTCTTTGTTCTGTCTCTATCCTGAGAAAAACAGGAACCTGGGGCAGAGGTATATCCAGAAGGGAGGTTCAAGTCTCTTCTCCTCCCCTTGGAGCTGAGAGGCTGGTCCAGGAAATGATGGGGGACAGTTGTAGCCTCGCCTTTTAGTACCAAGGCAGCTGGGTTTCTACTTAGAGACCCAGCTGGGCTTTAAAAGGAGAAGCAGCTTCCTTTTAAAGTGGCTGTCCCCAGAATAGTGTTTTTGTTTTGGTTTCAGGTTGCCAGATAAAGGTGAAGCAGCTGTCATGGTTCTATGCTGTAATAAAACTTGGGAAGAAGGGGGGAAGAAAGGGAGAGATTCAATACATAATTCCTTGCACAGAGAGCAGCTGCAAATGTGGAGATTTGCCTCTTCCTTTTTAAAACTTATTTACATCTGTGGTTTCTTATTCCTGTTTCACATCTTCTCTGAACTTCCAAGGTTCCTATCAGGCTCCTGCACACTTTATGCTGCAGCATGGAGGGTGATCCCAAGTTAGGATCTGCTGCATGGCTCAGGGC